GGAATTGCCACACTGTGTTCCACAATGGTTGAACTAATTTGCACCCCCCAGGAATAGTGTAAGAGCATTGCTTTTTCTCCACAACCTCGCCAGCTTCTGTTGTTTTTTGATTTTTTAATAATCGCCATTTTGGCTGGTGTGAAATGGTATCTCATTGTGGTTTTGATTTGCATTTCTCGAATGATCAGTGGCGTTGAGCTTTTTTCCATGTTTGTTGGCTGTATGTATGTCTTCCTTTGAGAAGTATCTGTTCATGTCCTTTGGCCACTTTTTAATAGGGTTGTTTGTTTTTTATAAACAGCTTATTTCAAAGCAGAAAAAAAAATGTAAGGAGAGGTGAATAAATAAGAATTTAGGTTTTCTGGGCCAGGTGCGGTGGCTCACAGTGTCATCCCAGCATTTCTGGAGGCCGAGGCGGGCCGATCATGGCAGGTAAGGAGTTCGAGAACAGCCTGGCCAACATGGCAAAAACCCATCTCTACTAAAAAATGCAAACATTACCTGGGCATGGTGGCATGTGCCTATAATCCCAGCTACTCAGGAGGGTGAAGTAGGAGAATTGTTTGAACCCGGGAGGCAGAGGTTGCAGTGAGCTGAGATTGTGCCATTGCATTCTAGCCTGGGCAACAGGGTCAGACTCTGTCTCAAAAAAAAGAAAAATAGAATTTAGGTTATTTGTTTGTTCATTGAATATGTAAATAAAATTTAAATGAATGCCTGTTTTATAGCACGTAAATTTTAGGTACAACAATTTACCTAAAATAGGAAGTTATGTTTCAATAAATGTATGCATTAGTTAAGTGATGGTGAAAACTGGAGATATTTCCTTTAATCTTACATTCTTTTTTTTTTCTTTGAGGTGGAATTTCACTCTTGTTGCCCAGGTGGGAGTGCAATGGAGCGATCTCAGCTCACCAAAACCTCCGCCTGCTGGGTTCAAGCGATTCTCCTGCTTCAGCCTCCCAAGCAGCTGGGATACAGACATGGGCCACTACGCCCAGCCAATTTTGTATTTTTAGTAGAGACGGAGTTTCTCCATATTGGTCAGGCTGATCTCAAATTCCCGACCTCAGGTGATTCACCCACCTTGGCCTCCCAAAGTGCTGGGATTACAGGGGTGAGTCACTGCACCTGGCCAGGTTCTTTTTTTTCTTTTCTTTTCTTTTTTTTTTCTGAGACAGAGTTGTGCTCTGTCGCCTAGGCTGCAGTGCAGTGGCAAAATCTCAGCTCATTGCAACCTCTACCTCCTGAGTTGAAGCAATTCTCATGCCTCAGCCTCCCAAGTAGCTGGGATTACAGGTGTGTGCCACCTCTCCCAGCTAATTTTTTTTTTTTTTTTTTTTTTTTTTTGAGACGGAGTCTTACCTTTTCGCCAGGCTGGAGTGCAGTGGCGCAGTCTAGGCTCACTGCAACCTCTGCCTCCCGAGTTCAAGCTATTCCCCTGCCTCAACCTCCTGAGTAGCTGGGACCACAGGTGCGTGCCACCACATCCGGCTATTTTTTTGTGTTTTTTAGTAGAAACGGGGTTTCACCATGTTGACCAGGATCGTCTCGATCTCCTGAGTTCATGATTCGCCTGCCTCAGCCTCCCAAAGTGCTGGGATTACAGGCATGAGCCACTGTGCTGGACCCTTTTTTTTTTTTCACCTTTTTGGCCAGGCTGGTCTTGAACCCCTGACCTCCAGTAATCCTCCTGCCTTGGTCTTCCAAAGTGCTGGAATTATAGATGTGAGCCACCGCACCCAGCCTTAATCTTATATTCTAAATATTTATACCCACCAATTATGAAAACCCATTGAGGTAATTAAAATACTGGGGAGTTATATATTGGTGATGATTGCATGTCTTTGTAAATATGCTAAAAACCAGTGAAGTGTAAAGTTTAACAGGGTGAATCTTAGGATATGTGAATTTTATCTAAATAAAAAATCTGGCGATATCACGCCACTGCACTCCAGTCTAGGTGACAGAGTGAGACCCTGTCTCAAAAAAAAAAAAAAAAAAAAAAAAAATCCTGGCCAGGCATGGTGGTTCATGCCTTTAATCCTAGCAATTTGGGAAGCCAAAGCCAGAGGATCACTTGAGCCCAGGAGTTCCAGACCAGTCTGGGAAACATAGGGAGACCCCCATCTCTACAAAAAATATAAAAATTAGCTGGACACAGTGGCTCACACCTTTAGTCCCAGCTACTAGGGAGAATGAAGTGGAAGGATCACTAGAGGCCAGGAGGTTGAGGCTGCAGTGAGCCATGATTGAGCCACTGCACTCCAGCCTGGGCAACAGAGGAGACCCTATCTCAAAAACAAAAATAAATAATAAAATCAATTGTCAATCGAAAGAATAATAATATGCTTTTTTTTTTTTTCTTTTTTGAGACGGAGTTTCGCTCTTGTTGCCCAGGCTGGAGTGCAATGGCGCGATCTCGGCTCACCGCAACCTCCGCCTCCTGGGTTCAGGCAATTCTCCTGCCTCAGCCTCCT